GTGTTTCCTTTAAAGTCCGGTGCGGTTTATTTGTGAAAAAAGTTTGAAAATAGACCATTTAATGACAGTGCGCCTTATAATCCAGAGCGCCTAATAGTTCGGAAAATATGGTACTGTGTTCTGAATACTTTGAATACTTTTACATCAAGTTGCATTTAAATAATTTAGTCAAAATGTAATTTGAGTCGAAAGGCAAAGCTCTGCATTTACCGCTCAATCTCTGTCTCTCCCCTCACCTATGGTCATGAGCTCTGGATAATGATCAAAAGGACGAGATCACAGATACAAGTGGTTGAAATGAGTTTCCTCCGCAGGGTGTCTGGGCGCTCCCTTAGAGACAGGGTGAGGAGCTCAGTCACATGGGAGGAGCTCGGAGTAGAGCCGCTGCTCCTCCACGTCAAGAGGAGCAGTTGAGGTGGCTGGGGCATCTGTTCTGGATGCCTCCTGGGCGTCTTCCTCGGGAGGTGTTCCAGGAATGTGCCACCGGAAGGAGGCCCTGGGGAAGACCCAGGACCCTGGAGGGACTCTGTCTCTGGGCTGGGAACGACTTGGGGAACCGCTGGAGGAGTTGGAGGACGTGTCTTCGGTGAAGTAAGTCTGGGAGTCCCGTCTTTGACTGATGCCCCCGTGACCCAGACCCAGAAAAGAGGAAGAACTGGATGGATGAAAATCCGTGCATCATTTGTTCATTAGTTTTTCAATATAAAACCAAAAATAAGAAAATGAAAAAACAACTGTTTTCTTCATTATGTTTTCTTCAAAATGAAAAAACAGATAACAATTAGTTTTTTCAGTTTTCAATTTTGTGTTTAAATGAAGAATGGAAAAAATGGATAACGACTGTTTCCCGTTTATGTGACTTCCGTGACTGTGATGCCGGACTTGTGTGCTGCATACAGACTGAACCAGGACTGATCCAAGTCCGGGACCAGACTGAGACCAGACCGGAGGCTCAGAGGCCATGGCAGGGCCGGAGCTTGAAGCTGAGGATCGGAGTCCACTCTGGTCGCGCTCTAGTCCCGCTCTGGTCCCGGTCTGGTCTCGGTCTGGTCCTGGACTGAATGAATGACACACGGATTGATGAAAACAGCTTTATGTTTGTTACACCTTTGATTTCCCTTCACTAACTGGAGAATTTAAAATCACACAGATGCCCACAACACGATCTGTGTTTTCTATTTTTCTCACTAATTCTAATTGTGTATTGAGGCACTGCAGCTGTACCAGGATACAAGTACTCAAAATGAGTATTCAGAATTTTCGGTACATGTATTCAATTACTTCCCAACACTGATGACAGAAAATAAAATAATGACAGAAAATATCAGGTAAAGAAACATACCCCCCGTGTCACAAACCTACAATCCTGTGACGTCACCTGAACCCTGAAAAAAACAGTGTAGTGTTTAATAAAAAGTAAATGTCGGTGAGACGCACGGACTCAGTGTAAAAGAGAAAGAGTTAAAGTGCAGAGGAGCCTGACAGGACACGCCCAGGGACAAAGTGTCCGTCAAGTGTCAGGATCAGGGAAAAGACTCATTTTAATTATGTCCCATTCACTGTGAGGGAATGTCCCGACTGCAGCCTGAGGGGACACGCCGCTCTCTCTCTCCTTCTCTTATTCTCTTCTCATTTACTCTCTCCCCCCTCCACATTTCATTCTCTCCTGACTCATCCTCTCTTCCTCTTATTCTTTTTTTACTCCTCTCGCTCCTCCTCATTTCCCTCTCTTTTGTCACCTCTCCTTTCTCTCTCTCTCTTCACACCTTTTCTTGTCGTGCTGTCACAAACCTCTCCTCTATTCTTTCTTCTACTTGTCTGCCCTTCTTTTCCTTTCACTCTTTCTTGTCTCGCTGTCCCTGACCTGCTCTTCCCTCACGCCGTCCTCATCTCTCCTTTCCGTTTTCTACCATTCAACCTTTCTTCTCTTTTCACTCTCTCATTTTGTCTTATCTTTTTTTCCTTCCACTGTCACAGACCATCTCCCTCCGTCGCTCTCTCTCAATCCCTCCTCCTTTTTCTCACCTTTCCCGCTCTTTCTCTCTTTCTCCCTCTCTCCCCTCCTCCTCCTCCCTCTCTTTTTCTTTCTCCGCTGCAGATGTTGGGGAGAAGTTGAAGTGTGATGTGGATCGATGAAGTCTGCGTCACTTTGAACTTGAGCTCAGAGGAACAGGCTTTGTTAAACCTGAGGGATTATTAGTCATTTGGAGTCCGGTTTTTGTAGATGTGAGGAGCTTTCAGGACGAGACAAAAGCGACTTTCTAAAGAAGTTGAGCTATATTTTCTTTAAGCTACAAACGAAAAGTATTGTGTGTGTGAACTGCAAATGCTCTGTTTGCATTTTGCCTGGATTGTTGCATCACAGGTGAAAATACTGACCTCCTTTACAGTTCTAAGCTCATAAACCGTCACCAGACTCATTTTACGCTCAGATGTGTTCACAGTGAATGCATGGCTCTGTCAACAAAGTATTCAAGGGTTAAAGGCGGGGGGGGGCACACTTTTCCAGCATGCGAGCTACTTATAAAATGAGTCAAAATGATCTACCTCAGGGGTGTCCAAACTTTTTTCATCAAGGGCCACATATCAAAACACAGGTGAAGCAGAGGGCCGATCGAGGGCCGTAGACTGATGCTGAATACAGTGAATAATTTAAACATGTGCATGTTTAACACATTAGAATGAGCCATCAGTCTTTATTCACACTAAAATCCTTAAAACCACACACTAAATATTAAAAAATTGCTTTATCGTGGAAGATTTTCAAAAAACCTGCAGTAAAAAGTAAATTTTTAAGTAAAAAGGTAATTTGGGCCAATTCACCTGGAAGCCTGAGGGCCAAGAAAAATTTGTCTGAAGGTCGTATTTGGCCCACGGGCCATAGATTGGACATGCCTGATCTACCTACTACAAAGCCAAACTAAATGTACTGTACTGAAACACTCTGCGCCCCTTTTTTGGGCCCTCACCCCTTTTGTTACACAAAACAGTGAAAAAAGTAAAGAAAGTGGGTAGGATTTTTAAGTTTTTTCAAGTTTCTAACTGGAGTTATTACTGATTTTGCAGCAGTATTTACCAGCCTCTGCACATTTACCAAAAGCACATTGTGACAAATACAGATGCATTTGTGTACTTTTATTAGGCAAACTTGACACTGGAGGTGTGTGTGTTTGTCCGTAGGCACCAGATGAGCGCACAGGCTGCAGGGAGAAGCCTTGCACAGTCCTATACGCTGGTACAAGTTTATGGCGAGTGTCAGACCTTGAGTGAGAGCCAAGATCGAGTCCAAACGCGGTTGAGTCTGAGACAATACCAAGACCGTAAAAAACAGTCATGAGGCCGAACTCGAAACCAAGCCTACCTTGGCGATAGACTGGTAGATCGAGGTCGACATGTTGGACACCCCTGGTTTACCATACCAACTTTATTTATAAAGCACTTTAAAAACTTTACAGTAGGCCAAAGTGCTGTACACAAACACAGGACAGACAATGACAATCACAGTAGAAAAAAATATATTTAAAAGGTATAAACGGACAGTCTGGAATTTTGGACATAGGGCCTCATTTCCTAGTGAGCCAGAGTGTTGGAGACGTGTGGAGACACTTTTTAAAATATTCCATCTAGTGCATGTCAATGATCATAGTTAATCCTGCCACTAAAAACAGTCTTACCCACTTCACAAAACACCCGAAGCAAATCTATTATTACACCAGACTGTCGATGTGAATGTCTGTGTTGATAGAATCATGTTTGAAATAGAACTAACCTTGCACCGCATGATTCGTCGCATGTTGAGGGACTATTTTCTCATATATCAATCCACCGCTGCCAAGTTTTCTATCAGGAAGTACAACTCACTGCTGCTGCTCAGACATAAATCCTTCAAATACAAGGTTGGTTTTACTTCTAAAATTATTCTATCGACACAGACATTTACATGGACAGTCTGGTGTAATAATAGATTTTCTTCAGGTGTTTTGTGGAGTAGGTAAGACTGTTTTTAGTGTCAGGATAACTATGACCATTGACATGCACTAGTCTAACACCAACGACCTCAGCAAATACAAGGACTTCATGGAATATTTTTATAAAGTGTCTTTTTTTTCAATTTGTATTTCTGGTCTTGTAGCTTTTATTACAAGCCATAGGACACAACTACAGAAGCAGATTGTGAAATAACAAGTTGTATTGAAAAAAAGGATGTGTAACACTTCATTAGAGGGTAAAAGGAGGAGTTTTAACAGCAAAATTAAGAAATATCCAGACGAGGACAAATGTACTAAAATCGTCCTTAGGTCTGGAAGGGTTAAAATGTAAAAAAATGCATAATATGTGTCCTTTAAAGGTGTCATCAGTTGTGCACAGAGAGAGAGAGAGAGAAAAGAGGCCATCCCTGCAGTGTTCAGATCCAGGATGGCTCAGATCTGCTCCACAATAGCCCTTTGTACATGTGTCAGTGTGGAATGTGTATGAAGCCAGATGCACAAACTCTCAACTTTCACACATCATTTAAGCATCAAAGCCACACTGCAGTTCAGCTTTGGTCAAATATATGTAAAAAAGAACCAAAAAAAACCCCATCTTACCCCATATAACTGCTGTAATTTTGTGATTTCAGAAGGATTCGAGACACGTGAAGACTGCAGTCGCGCGCAGGGGTTCAAAAGTTCAGGTCGTTTCTCACTTCCTGGGGCCAAGTTTCCAAGTTTTCCAAAGCTGAGAAATTCCTCTGATCATTCACGATCTATCACAAACACTCAATAATGTCATACAACACAGTTTAACATTACACTGTGTAACTTTTCTGAGGGTTCACCACCTGCTTGTCTCGTGTTTTTGCTTTGCTTGTAATACTGCACATGATGACATTAAAAATATATAGGCTTATCTTAGATTTATTTTATTTTGGGTCTTACTATTACGAAATCAAAACCACACATTTTATTTTTACTGTGAGCGTTGTAACCTCTACGTAGATCTGACAGGTAAATGGCTTCATGGAGGTAGATTAATGGTGCGTTTGATTATCCATCCGTCTCCCACTCGGATCTTGGATATGACATCACGTCCACACTTCAAGCGTTTTATTATGTTTCGTGTGTCCTACATGAAGAAAACTATAGACGCAAAGCTGTTGTTGTTGTTTATCTTCTGTTAGAATCAGGACTTTTAGCAACACCTGTTTAAAACAAGTTTGTTCAACACTGGCCTCACCTCAACACCGACCATCACAACAGCGACCACCGCAACGGCGACCACCGCAACGCCGACCACGCAACGCGACCACCACAACGCCGACCACCACGCAACGCACCACGCCGCAACGCACCCAGCAACGCACACAACGCCGACCACCGCAACGCCGACCACCGCAACCACCACCGCCAACGACGCAACGCCGACCACACACGCGACCACCGCACGACCACCACACGCCGACCACCGCAACGCCGACCACGCAACGCGACCACGCCACACGCCGACCACCGCAACGCCGACCACCGCAACGCCGCACAGCAACGCCGACCACCGCAACGCCGACCACCGCAACGCCGACCACGCAAACGCCGACCACGCAACGCCGACCACGCAACGCCGACCACCGCACGCACCGACCGCAACGACCAACCACCACGCACGCGACCACCGCAACGCCGACACACCGCAACGCCGACCACGCAACGACCACCGCAACACCGCCCACGCGCCACCGCCACCGCAAACGCGACCACCGCAACACACGCAACGCCGACCACCGCAACGCCGACCACGCACCGCACACCCGATCACCACAACGCCGACCACGCAACACACCGACCACCGACCACCACCAACAGCGACCACCGCAACGCCGACCCACCGCAACGCCGACCACCGCAACGCCGACCCGACCACCGCAACGCCGACCACCGCAACGCCGACCACCGCAACGCCGACCACCGCAACGCCGACACCGCAACAGCCGACCACCGCAACGACCACAGCACCGACACACCGCACCACGACCACGACCACCGCAACGCCGACCACCGCAACGCCACCGCACCACCACCGCAACACCGCAACGCCGATCACCGCAACGCCGACCACACGCAACGCCGACCACCGCAACACCGACCAACCCGACCACAACACGACCACGCCGAACCACCGACCACACAAACCGACCAACCGCAACGCCGACCACCACCAACGCAACGCAACCGACCACAGCAACGCCGACCACAACGCAACGCCAACCACGCAACGGCGACCCGCAACGCCGACCACGCAACGCCGACCACCGCAACAACCGACCACCGCAACGCCGACCACACGCAACACCGACCACCGCAACACCGACCGCAACGCCGACCACCACCACGCACCACGCAACCACCGCAACACGACCACCGCAACACCGACCACCGCAACACGGCGCACCACCGCAACGCACGACCACCGCAACGCCGACCACCAACGCAACGCCGACCACCGCACACCACGACCACCGCAACGGCCGACCACCGCAACACCGCACCACCGCAACGCCGACCACCGCAACGCCGACACCGCAACCGACCACCGCACCCCCACCGCAACACCGACACCCGCAACACGACCACCGACACCGACCGCAACGCAACCACCGAAACACCGATCACCGCACACCGACCAACCAACACCGACACGCGCAACGCCGACCACCGCAACGGCGACCACCCGCAACACCGCAAACGAACCACCAACCGCACCACACCGCAACACGACACCGCAACCGACCACCGCAACGCCGACCACCGCAACACCGCCAACACCAACACCGACACCAACACCGACCACCGCAACACCGACCACCGCAACGCCGACCGCAACCACGCAACACCGACCACCGCAACGCCGGCCACCACAACACCGACCACCAAAACACCGATCACCGCAACACCGACCAACCCAACAGCGACCACCGCCCCCACAGGCAGTGATATGGACACAGTAAAATACTGCAGTGATACGAGTGACTGAAATTGTCATTTAAACCACCAAAGCTCCAAACACAATGAAAACAGGTCATACTTAAACGTGACAGTGGACGCAGCCATCGTGGATTTTGTCTCGCAAACCTTGCTCGGTCTCCTCCGAGTTGTTCCGAGTTGCGCCGTCTGAGGAAAAACGGGCGTGTCAGTGTGTGTCGCTAGGCAACGTCCTCGGACCTCCAAGTCGGACGGATAATCGAACGCACCATATGTTTGCCAGACTGTGTAACATTCCAGTCAAAGTAAAAACATCGCCATGGAAACAGGCCGATGGCAGAACCTCCACCAGAAGTTTGTTACTTTAAAAACGATATAACAGGTTTTGAGTGTTTTCCTGTAGCTTCTTTCACACAGCAAATATAGACAACTAATTACTATATCCAACTTTTGGGCATAGTAGCATACCTACAATTTCTAGAGAGGAGACGCAATCTCTATGAGACGAGACATGACTCTGGACACCCTCTGTTGCTAATTTGTAACACAAATTGTCACATTTTTATTCTGTGTTTTTCCACCTAGGCTCAAAGCTCTTTGAGGCGAGATGGGTTAAGTGTCTTGCCCAAGAACACAACGAAAGGAAGGAGCTCATTGTTCACACATTGTTTTGAACAACATCGAATTTCTCTCATTTCAGATGAACAGAGTGTTTAAGGCAATAGTATCTTAGAGTGTAGAGTTGTTTTGGAGTGTTTTCTTGTAGCTTCTTTCTCACAGCAAAGATGAATTCATTACTATATGGAACCTTTGGGCACAGTAGCATACACCTATTATGTATTATTTATTTATTTAAAACAAGGACAGTGCACAGAAAACATTAATCTCAGAAAGAAAAGATGCTCTGTGCCAGATTTAGCTACAAGCTACTTTCCATCTGCAGTCCTTGGGCAGATACAAAAAATACATTAAATAAACTATTTACATCCAACAGACCAACATTTCAGCAGTAACAGTGTCTCCTTAAAATAACCACTATACAATTCATCATTAAACGTTTAAAACAATCAAAATTCATTCAATCTAATTTCCATAAATACAAGATTTCAAATTGATCATTATCTTCCAAAAAATACTCAAATTCATTGTCATCAAAATCCTTTAAAATGTACATTTACCAAATTAATCAATGTTATTACCTCCGCCAAGGAGGTTATGTTTTTGCCGGCGTTTGTCTGTTTGTTTGTCTGTTTGTTTGTTTGTTTGTTTGTTTGTTTGTTTGTCTGTTTGTTTGTTTGTTTGTCTGTTAGCAACATAACTCAAAAAGTTATGGACCGATTTTGATGAAATTTTCAGGATTTGTTGGAAATGTGAAAAGGAAGAACTGATTTCATTTTGGGGCTGATCCGGAAGAAATCCTGGATTCTGGATCACTTTGAAATTTTAGTTAACATTGTGGTAAATGAGGCCAAAAATTTTGTTTCTCAATATCTCGGTTAATTATTGACCAAACCCCATGAAATTTGACTCAGGGATGGACAATGGGATCCTCTTTCATATTCCAAAGGCTGATCCAGATCTGATCCAGAAGACTGATTTTATCGCAATTTATATAAAAAATGGGGGTAGTCCTTGGCGGAGGTCTGCGCTCTCTGACTGCTTTTCTAGTTATTACTATTTTAAAATGATTTTGATTGGCGCATTTCACTTCGGGCCGAGGGCACAAACTTTACTGTGACATCAATGACATCACAGTCTCTGTTTATTTAGTGTAGTGTGATTGGACAACTGTCCTGTCACTCACGTCACGTCACGTCACCCTGTTGCGTCAACACGTAGCAGCTCCACGATTAGCGGCAGCTGCTACTTTAGCCTAAAGCTCCACACAGGAAATGGCGAGAACAGAGTCAAAGACACTGACAGACCCGCCGCCGGGACCCGGGACTGTCGCCGCTGGGACCCGGGACTATCGCCGCCGGGGCCAGGGCAGTCGCTCGCTGCTCTATCCGCCTTTGCCCGCTCGTTTCTGGGTGTAAAAGTTTGACCTGAGCATAGCGCGCAGAGGCATAATTCTACCTGGTGCTGATATGGACTGACTGTAACTTTCAGATTTAAGTGGGAAGTGGGATTAAGACTCATTTTACAACCACTCGGCTCCCGGACCTCGCGTCACGGACCAGACTGGACCAGGATTTGGACCAGTTTCATCTCTTCATATTGGACAATAGACTTTTGGAAACAGAACCAGTGGGACAGTGGACAGAGGAAACATTCTGCTTCAGTCTCTGGAGAAGGTAAGAGGCTGGTTTTCATTAGTTTGCGGCAAATCTGAACTTGGAGCCTCACAGGTAAATAGTGTTATAGTGTTAAGAGTTAATAGTGCGTAAATGAGCTGGTGGGTGCGATGGAGCTGCTCTGGTTGTTCTGTCGTGTGCTGTAGGAGCGGCATCTGTGTTCATGTCTCTTATTGTAGTTTTACTGACGTTGTTGGGTCTGGGTGTGAGCGGTGTGTTACGTTGTGTTGTTGCGTAAAGTTTGCGCTTGGCTGTTCATTGTGCTCTGATCGATACTGTTCAGCCAATACTAACCAAAATGTCTGTTTCTGGTATTTGTTATAATACTACAGCCTATATATATAATACATATATTATTCATTATATGTATTTATAATTTTGCCCTTGGTGCCCCTTCCAAAAAATTATACCACCAGCCGCCACTGGTCCTGGTTTAGTCCTGGTTTAGTCCTGGTTTAGTCCTGGTTTAGTCCTGGTTTAGTCCTGGTTTAGTCTCAGGTCTCTATAGGACAGGACTGGACGGCGACTCGCGTACCACGTTCACTACAGCCCTGGTGCTGTCCGATGCGTGGCTATTTCTAGTTCAGAGGTGTTTTTGACGAGAGGCTGTTGTTTAATGTTTACAACCAGTGGCAGGACTTATTGTTTTTTAATAAACCTCAACCTTTTATTATTGTCTTGTGTGCGTATCGTCTACCACACAGCCTCAACAACTATTGCAGCTAATAATAATAATCTTAATATAATAATGATAATAATAACAACACATAATTAGCCTAATACTGTTAAAGAAAAACGTGTTTGATAGCATGTCTGCTGTGTATGACTCCACCGTGTTAAAATATTTCTCAAATGGCAGTGCCCCCCCTGCTGGTGACCCATGCCCCTCCAGTAGATGTGCTCTGACGCCGACTCTGTTCTCTACACAATACATCTACAGTACAATCAGTCAGAATGTTTAAAGGTTTGAAGAAGCCCAATGATGACTCGCCTGCTCAGAAGCCGTTGTTTTAGCCCATGAGAGAAAATGTAGTAGTTAGTGAAAGTTTTAAGGTCAGCTGGAAGCGTGTTCCAATTTTTTGCTGCCTAATTATTTATTACTAGAGGTGGGATGAGACTCAAGTCCTACGTGACGAGACACAACATTAGATCCACGAGAATGAAATTAAATTATCTTTAATACATTTTGTGGTTCAGTTCACAATTTTTTATTTATCCTTTTTTCAGACTATAAGGTGCACTTAAAATCCTTTCATTTTCTCAAAAATCGACAGTGTGCCTTATAATCCGGTGCAATTTATGGTTTAATTCTGGTTGTGCGTACTGACCTCGAACTGATTTTATGTGGTACACAGTACTCAAAAATCTGTCCAAATGTTTTAGTATGATTTTGGTAAACTACAAAGCCACACTTGATGGATTGTTGGAGCATTCTGACTGCTATAGTCAGGAGCCTCGCAGAGTAAATGAGTCATGTCCTTTTGGTTACATTTACGCTGAAACAAATGTATCGCCAACGATTTGCATCCAGACATGTCATTTCTGTGTCCACAATAGAGATGCGCGGATTGCGGTTACAACCGCGGTATCCGCGGTTAATCCGCGGGTCGGGCGGATGACGTGACGAAAAATTATATTTTAATTAAATTCGGGCGGGTGGCGGTTTAACTACTAAAAAAAAAAGTATTGTTACCTACATCTGAAAAGACGAGTCTCATTGTCTATGCTTGTAGTATGAAGTGTACGTCATGTCCTTAATTAGCCCATTTGACCTCGTTTTTATGTTCTGAAGGTTCAGGTTGTGTCGGGTTATTGATGCCTAAGGTTTACGAGGCACATATTATATGCAGTTTATTTTATTATTTCTAATTTATTTCAGCTGTTTGCCAACACATAAGTGGCTATAGGGCCATATTTATTTAGTTATGCATATTTTTTCTTGCCTATTTCAATTGGAATATAAAGAGGGCATTGCCTGATTTCAATAAAGGTTCATCTGGATGAGATGATCTGTCTATTTTGTTTCGATATCAGTCATATTTTAAAACACGCAGACATTATAGCGTAGACTGCCACTCGGGGTTTTTAAAACTTAAAGAAAGACCGATGGAGTGAGGCTATGACTTTGAAATAACATCGAGCAATGGCAGAATGTTCAGAATGTAACAACATCCAACACGAAGGCAAGAAGGTTCAAAAACAGCCTAGTCGGAAAACATTGTCAATTAATTAGCTGCGCAAGAAAACCAGGTAAGTTTGGGGTTGTTACGGACAATTAAGAATGCGAACATACACGCTGAGCGAATTTTGGAATGAATGAGCTATAGAGTTTGCATTTTTATCGAGGCTCCTTAGTTTGTTTGCTGTATGATTGTTCTAAAATCTAAAATCAATCGGCGGATGGCGGGCGGGTGCGGTTTTGAAAACCTTCGGTGCAAAATGGACAGCGGGCGGATGATGAGTTTTGTGTCGCGGTTGCGGATGAAAAAATAGCCCATCCGTGCATCTCTAGTCCACAATCAAAGCGTTCCCTATCCAAACCACCTGCAACGTTAGTCACATGACTAGGATGGCATCAAGTCGTCACGTGGGCCGTAAAAACAAGAAAGTGGAGCACCATGTCTGGAGTTGAAGGAGCCGATTTCAAGTCGAGGAAGTAGTTCGAGCTACGCTTTTCCCGTTTGTCCATGGTTTGTTTAAACTGTTTTCTGCAATAGCGTCACATGAGCGATGTCACAAACCCAGAGAATCAGGAAGGGGCAATTCACAGTGACATGATCAAATAAGGACGCAACTAGAACTCCTACGTCAGCGTATCAACGTTTTCCACACAGTGCCGGATCAGATCTGTGCTCTGATGAATTCGTGGGAGCTGGCGGCACCAGATCGTTCCGCCTCTGGAGCCGTTTTCCATCGGATTAGTGTGAATGAACACTGCATCCGCAACGAAAAACGACTCAAATACATACTAGTGTGGATGGGGCCTTAGTCGGACTGAAGGAACAAGCTGTTTTTTTCAGCGCTCATAGTTTATGCAAATTAGTCATGTGGTTTTAAGTTGAATTTCTGTAAAACGTAAACAAATGTGCGCAAAGCTGCATTAAACACATTAATACTCAAGTGTATATTTGAGTCGTCCTCGTAGGAAATAAAAAACAAACTAAAATGATCCATCCACATTCACATTCATAATAAACATTCACCAAGACAGGGAGGCATGGATTGTGGATGTCTGGGCTAAGGGATCAGTCTCAAGTGTCCTCCGTTTGTTTCGTTTAATGCTCCTTACAAACCGGTGCGCTTCATAGTCCGAAAAATACTTCATAGAGTACTACTACACTCCATATTTTTGCTGTCGTTGTAGCACTCTTTTTTTTGTC